CACTGAGCTGAGGACAGACTTTTATGTGAAGCCATAATTTCCCTTAATGGGAAAAAAAAGTACTTCACCCCCTAGTATTGATTAGCTGATCAAATTTCTTTACATTTAGGTTCTGTTATTCTTCCATACTACATGGGTGTAACAGATACAGTGCTGTCCCCTGGGTATCGATCCCAGCCCTGTCCTCATGCACTACTGGTTTACAGCATGTGTTATTGTTCATGCTCTTTACTGTAGGGGGGAAAAACAACAACAGTAAACAGTAATCTAAGTTCAATCAGAGGAAAAAAGATGGACAGAGAAGTGCACAGGAAGAGCAAATATCTGCTTAATGATCCTATGAATTGCAAATGTTGGATCAATAGCAATCGACTCATGCATAAAACCTTCCTTAAATGAGGCCCTGCTGTACCTTTCAAACTAATGCACAGTCTTGTTAAGTAGCAGGGAGGAATAATGAATGACTAAGTTGGAAAAGGGCTGGTCTGGGCATGAAGTCCTCTGAGAGAGGGGAATGATCTGTACTTGTCAGTCGGTCTCATTCAAAGTGGGCCACTAAGACAGGCGATGCAGCACAATATAATAAGAAGAAGATGGAAAACAGGCCTTCATCATCATGTCTCATCAGTGGCAATTCATTGCCCCGTGCTGAGGAAATCACTGCTCCTTATGAATGCCTGCCTTCCTTCCATCTTAGCATGATGGTCCAGAGGGAAGCTGTGTTGACTGCAGAAGCACCAACTCCTGTCAGCAGAGCTGTCCTCTTTGTTCAGAGAGACAACATCCCAGTTCACAATGTGGATCTACACGCTGTTATGTAACACAAATTTGGCGTAAAATGTTTAGCATTTACGCATTCAAAAGGAACGTGGAGCACTTAGCATTCGCAGGCAATCGAATAGTGAGGCGACTTCAATAAACACGCAGTGGTCGAGATAATAACGTTCAGCTTTTGCAGATATGATGTAAGAGGAGTTTTTTGCCAAGTTTCAAGGCGTTAATAAGTGGTGGTGTTTTTATCAAATTGCATAATGTTGTTGTTTTTGTCCACCCCCTCTCCACTATGTGCTGCACGAAAAAAGAAACAAGTACTCCTTAGACAGTAATAGAGCACAGTACCACCACGCTGCAAAACAATGACTTCAACCAACTGCACACGTTGGAGTCATAATCGACACCTGCTGGCTTGCTGTGTTTTAGGCGACTGTAATCTAAATGTCATTGTGATTTGAATTTTTGGGAGTTGCACTAACCATATTTTTTTTCTCTACTTTGACACAGAAAATTAAAAACAATTATGAAAACAATCCTTATTTGAGGCAAGTCACCACTGCTGCCACTACCATACAAACTCCAGTGCGATAAAGCCTCATAATTTGAGCTGCTTTGCCCCTGATTCCTCCTAACAAGCAGGCTCGCTCAACCCTCTGAACATCCCACCCTTCGAACTGTTAAACAAACGCTGTGTCTCATCAGACTGCCTCCTAAATTATGTGTCTGTGTGACAGTTAGGAACAGTGTGGCCTGGAGGAAGGGCAACAAGTGACAATTGTTTGCTCCTTATTGGCTAATTCTCACTGTTGCCAGAAAACCATGGGTCTACTGTGCTGTGCAGTGGCAAGGGTTTTTCCACTGATGTATCTACTGTGAATAGAATCAGTAATTAACTCTGAGGCTCACTTCTAATTAATCTTTCTGCCTGTCTTTGTGGAGTCGATCCCTGCTCTGCTTTTGTCATGCTTGTTGTTAAATGTAGGACACAGCTGAGCTTCTGCTGGGGGAATCTTTCCTGTGTGAAGAAAATCAAATTTGGAAGTGTGTATGTGACGGGTGGGGGGTGGCACTGATTCCATAATGCTTTCTGGAAGAGTGAGAACAAGTCAATGCAGTTTACTCTGTCTGGATTGGTGCCTGATAACTAATTACTACAGCTACAACAGCAGCTGTTAAAGCAGCATGCAGCACAGCAGTCGTTTTAGGGGCTCATGGTCCAAAAAAAATTACAAATATATAAAAAAAAAAAAAAAAGTGGAAAGTTGTCCTTGTCACCAATGGCAAGTATTACACCCTGATGGAAAAGTGCCCATGACAAAGACTAAAAATGTCACCCCTAACAGCAACCTAATTTTGTCTGGAGGTCTGCCACAGAAAGAAAATGTGGTGATGCCAAAGATCTGGTTTCCTAATGTGCAGCTGACCTATTTTACCAAAAAAAGCCAGCCTGCCCTGGGATCCCCGTGTTGTGGAAATATCTATCTAAAGACCTGTGAGATTCAAAATGAGTTTCTTCATCTTCTCCAGCAAGATAAGAGGAGGACAGAAGTGATTATTTTCATGCAAATGGCTCTTCTACATGAAGTTGGTTCATTTCCCCCCTCTCCTCCTCTTTCTCCCTCATGCACTCTCATCGACCTGCTGTGGGGACCCTCAGAAGAGCAATTTCAAGGTCATCAAAAGCCCTTTCTACAAAAGCCCACCACCAAACGCCTTTGTTTCACCATCAAGGAGCAGAAGAGGACCAATTAACAAGTGTATTACTTTTAATGCATCATGACAACAACACCAGAACATTTTTAGCATTTTTGCATAACATACATAATATATACTTTAATTTAATTTAAGAAAAACAATGACACAAGGACATTTTTAAAAGTGACTCACCCTTGCATATTTAGAGGAGTAAGGGTCCTCAAACAGAGCCCAAACCCGTTTCTGCCACCGACTCCACAGGCTCCCATTCCTGGTATCAGGAGAGTCTCCCTGAGCCAGCCTTCTCGTCATTTCATCCACATCATCCTCAGCATGCTCCTGGTCTGGCTCCTGATCATCATTCCCCAGGTCTAACAGGCCACCCCCGCTGAAACTATCAAGGGCCTCTTCTGCCTCCCGGTGCTGGCGATAGGTCATCCAGCAGCATGGCTCCACGTCTGTTTCATCAATCCCCCAGAAGGCCAGTTCCTCCTCATAGAGCGGCCCGCAGACATCGGCCGGGCAGTGCAGTTTACCTGTCCTGTAGTAATTAAGGATATGTGCAAAAACGCCAGGGTGGCGGTCGAAGAAAAATTCCTCGATCTTGGCATCATAGTCAAAGTGGTTGGGCGCATCAGGCTCGGCCAGCCAGGACAAGCGAGTGCCAGGTAGAGTGCGCAGGGTGCTGCGGTATGTCTGATGTCTGATCCCTCCCACGTTTATCACAATGCGATCCTTGTCGTCGCTCAGGCCCATCGCGTCCCCTAGGCATTTCTCCAATAAGTCCCCTTCATCGCAAAGGTAAGTCTAGGCGCACAGTGCAGACCATGCACAGGAGTGATCAGGGTGACGGAAACAATTACATAAGGAAAGCAACTCACAAAGCAACCAGTCCTTTTCTCAGCAGCTGTGAAAGAAATCGGGGCAGTCTGACACGCATCCCCCTCTAAACCCTGAATTTTCTGCAAGCATCCATTCATTCATTCATTCAGCTGGAGGATCAAAAACGCTCAGGGCTGCCAAGCTCGCTGGAAGGTAGAGAAACCGAATCCAAAACCCAATGTAGCCAATGGCATCACATTAAGAATGGACGTCACATCATCGATAAATCCAAGATGTCGAAAGAGACATATATAAGGAGAGGGAAAACGCCGACAGAATAAATCCAGCTCTTTAAACTCACTAGTATGCGACAGTTGATAGATCAGCCCTGAGGAAGGTTTATGACTTTCACAGCAAGGTGACTGCGGTGATGATGATGGTAGTGGTGCTGGGTGGAAAGCTCCTGATGGAGCTGCTCAGTCCTTCTGTTGCTGCCTACAGACTCACCTCCTTCACACTCCCGCTCCCTTCCTGAATTTAACGACACGCCGCCACTAAGCAGCAGGTCTTTGTCTCAGCGCTGAGATGCTTCCTCGCTCACAGACTTCACTGCCGTTCATGCATCGCTGAGAAGAACACATCCATCGCTCTTTTTGATGGGAGGACCACCCCGTTCCCTGCACTGCTGATAAAGAAAATCAAAGATGAGAGGGCGACAAACCTCCCCCAAGAAGAAGAAAAAAGAAGAAAAAACGCCCAAACGGCCAGTTATTCTCACCGAGCACAGCTCTTCTCTCAGCACAGATGGAGCATGCCCAGTGGAGAGCCCTGCTTTTATTAAAAACACGCTGTCAAATCCCCCAATTACTGTAAGGATGCTCAAATAATCATCCTTGCTCAGTTTTACTTGTCCTCCTCCTCCTGCTGCTCGCTGAACGTCGTCGCCCAGAGGGTAAATGCAGGGTTAGCGCCTCTAACAGTCCGGATGCTGCTAGGGAAGGTCTTCATCATCTTCACGCACAGCTGGCTGGAGAAGGTGTGACCCTGAAGCCATGAACGCGCACATCTGCTCGTAGCATAAAAACACTATTAGAAGACGGTAAAGCTTCGTGGTTTGCAGACAAGTTCAGACAAGAGCTGAGAGCTCAGATATGAACACAAAGAGCGGAGAAGATTCAAGATTTGCGCAAGTCTGCGTGCTGCACAGCGCGCCTAAATAATTAGTCGATGAGGATCGTGTTTAATTCGCCAGCAGAGGGCGCGACTGCTCAAAGCAAGGAAATTTTATGGTCCGAATCATTTCTAACATTAAAAAACATAATAATTAAAGTTGGCAGAATTGCTCCATAATCTAACTAAAAAAGTAAGTAACAAAACAAAAACAAACAATGAGATATTTCTAAAAATGCCAATTTTATAGCTTTATAGTGTTTTTAAAGCTGTTTTGAATATGTGATTTAGGATGTGCGAATTTTAAAAATGTAAAGTTGCTTTGAAAATTGTCCTTTCTTTCGTTCGTTCGTTCTTTCTTAAGTCTGGAATACTCCCTAGTGTGTTCACATTTTATGAAATCATTGGTTTTTTACTTGCTCACTCGGGTAGATGGGCAACTTGTTATTCACTCGGCCACCTCCTGTCCAGTTCACTTGGTGGGCAGTCCTCCCGTCTCGGTTTTCACTCTTGATTATAAAGGAGGAGTTTGCTGTATGAGTCCTTCCAGCCCAGCTGGCCGAACAAACTGAGCCCCCCCTCCCCCCGGCAGTGACTGTGTGATCCTGGGAAGTAGACTCCTCTCACTCTCACAACTTGTTTGATTTGGGCGTAAGGACGAGCTGACAAGACCTGGAAACATGGCTGTTACGGGCTGTACGAAATGCATTAAATATATGCTATTCTTCTTTAATTTTATTTTCTGGGTGAGTCGACCATATTTTTTGTTCTCCGACGTTAGTTCTAAATTTATTTGAGTAACGTAGACTTCCTCTGCTTCTTCTTCTTTTGTTTCTCTCGTTTTCTGTTTAACTGATTTAACAGCTGCAATTTTACACATCTGTGAAGACCATAGCTTAAAATAATTTCAAAAAGATAAGCACAGAGGAGTTTCCCTCCTGAGCTGCTCTACAAATTAAGCTGCTCCCTCTTAGTGAGAAGGGCAGCATCCATCCATCCACACAGGCACAGCGCACAAACTCTTGGCAGGAGCTAAAAATGCTCTCCCAACCTTCATCAACTTCTTTTCAGCCTGACTGAGCAAACGGGGAAAAGTGAGTGAAAGAGCCGGGAGGTAAAAGCCCTCCAGGCTGGCTGGTGTCTCTTCCCCCCCCTCCCAGTCTTTTTTACCGGGATTGTACTCTCTGCCTGTCACTCATCATCTGTACTTCAGGTCCACCGTTGATTTAACCAGTGCTCACCTTAACTGTGAACTCCAGACAAAAAAAAAAAAAAAGATTTCAGTTTAAAAAAAGACTGAAAAACTTTTAGGTGACGGGAATAGGTGTTTCCCTCCGACTGTTTCCTTTTCCTAGAGTAATTCCCAAATTCCTTAATTCTTAAACATAGTGCTCAGATGTGAAATTTAGAAATTTCACATCTAAATGATCATTTTAGTACATTCACCCTGTAAACTGAGCTCTTCTCAAGGCAGTCCCTTTTTTCCTTGCTTCAGTAATATGGGACAAGCCACAGTAGTTAAACAGCCTAATCTGGGTACATCAGTACATCACTGCAAACTATAGATATCCATTTTAAGTGCAGAATTGACCATTTGCATGGGGTGTTTTTAGATTTCCATTTGGTTTGCCTGTTTAGAGTGTGTTTTTGTTTTTAGGACGAACAGAATGCCCATATCCTGGACATGCTGCGCTTGATTGAGTGTTTCCTCTGCTGGCCTCACTGCTGTGCCTGTCATTGTAAAAGCGCTAAGCCCCTTCTTCCTCATTTTGCTATTTTCACGCTGAGGATTCCGTTTCCTGTTTGCTGAGAACAATGGATTTCAGCCATGGCCAAAAAACACAAAAAAGAAACAAAAAGAAAAGTGCAGATATAAACACGGGCATGTGAACAATAACAGGAGCTACATGCACTTTAGCTGTTCTATGATGACACTTGTCAATATATTTTTGCTTCATCAGATACATAATTTAGAAGAGAGATCAGGGAGTTGAAGTTGAGTCGATTTTAAACAATGCTGCGTGGACATGTCTGTGTCGTGGGTCACTGAGGTGTCAGGATGTCCTTTCTTTTCTTAAATGACAGGGGGACAGGTCACACACACACGCACACACACAGATATTAGCAGAAAGGCTTTGGTGTGGATTTGATCTCCCGAAAGTCAGCTTTCATGTTGTCTTAGATGTCACGGTGCTGTCACATGTAAAACATGCTGATGGGTCTTTTCTAAAAAGTCTTTAAAATTTAAAAACTACAGGATGATTTTAATATTCATGCTTCCTTTTCACTTTCATTTCAGACACTTAGGTGGGTCTGAACCTCATAAAGGATTCATCAAAGTGACCGAAAAATATGAAACAAAACAATTAAAAACCTTTTTTTGTTTCTTTCTGGGACAGCTGGCCGGAGGTGTGATCTTAGGAGTGGCTCTGTGGCTACGCCACGACAGTCAGACCAGCAACCTCCTCATTCTTCAGTTTGATGATCAGCAGGCACCGGGCACCTTCTATATCAGTGAGTATACACCAATAATTTGAATAATAGTGAACTGGTCCTCAGGACTGTGTGTAGTGGTGCAAGGAGGGCTGCTAGAGGAGAGGTGTGGACAACCAGGAGAAAATGTGGAAAAAAAAGAAAAGTATGTGTAATTATGTTTTTAAAGGGGAAGAAATTAAAAAAAAGTGAACTTTATTGTTAAGGAGTATTTAAAAAATTGGGCAGGTGTTGGGGATTAATTCTTTTTGGGTGGGACCAGAAAACATTTGCGAGCCACCAACTGTCCTGAAATACACCCCTCCCTAACACACACAGAGCTCATGGAAATCATAGTTTTGAGTTGGTCTTCAAAACTTTTACCACAAGTAGATTATTCTTAGACCAGTTTTGAGGTGGCTTTAACACCACAGGGAGATTGTGCCCAGATTTAATGTTGGGAAAGCTGTTAATATTTTATGTTTCAAAGCTAAATATTCACAGAGTGAAGTGGCCTCATTTTGGCATCTACGGATTCTTACATTATAGCTCATACCACCCTCTCATTCAGAGTCAGGTTTCTATTTTAAGGATACTTTACTTCATATAAGGAAACTGCTCTGCCCTCGTTTTTCATCCTTATCATGATGGAAAGTTTACATTTAACAAAGTGATCAAATTTAACTCACGTGCTTCATGGTGAGCTGTGAGTGACATCCAGATATTTTGGAAATAGTAGGCGTGACATGACCTCTAAGAAGACCAGGAAACAGGACTTGCGTACATCCGCAGCATGAATTAAAAGCGGCAGGGCCAGGAGCTACACCTCAGTCCACATGCTGTAAGGCACATGCAGGAGAACATCTCTGATTCAGTTTATGGAAAAAGTCCCAGCCTTGATGTTCTTTCAAGAGAGAGGCCAGATGCTTGAGACAGATGTTTAAACACATGCTGGCTTTGAGAAAGTGGTCTAAGAGCGCAGCTGAAGCGATCACGAGCCTTCTGTTGTTCACACTTTAAAGTATTTGATCCTCAGGAAAATTCAGGAGTTCTGCACTACTGAACCGCAGCTCCATCTCTGTAACTGCACATGTTTTGCATTTTTTAACCTTTGTGTTGTGTCATGCCCACGACATGAACTAAGGTTATGGGTTGCAAGCACGTCTCCTTCACTGCCCTCAGAAGTCCTAAGGTTGGCCATGAAACCTACAATACATGATACAATTTAAAAATGTCAACAGTCCGTGATCTTGGTTTGTTGTGGTGGTGAACTCTAGTGAGCCCATTAATTTACATTTGGGCCCCTGCTGCGCTCCCATACTTACTCCTCAGTAAGTATACGGAGCAAAGGCGGGCCGTGCTTTTTATAGAGGCGAGACACACTCGTGATTTTAAAGGCAGGGCGGCAAGTGGGGCCCACCCAGGCAAGATCAAGAGACTGCTTCTTCTTTTTTCCTCCCCTGTCCCTTAGACATACGCCCTTACATAATTCAAAAAAAACCTTGTACATCTGCACATTATCCCTCAAATTAGAGTTTGGAATGGATGTTTTTAGCATGCTGGCACACCAAAGTGGTATTTATGTAAGACTGAAAATACACACCATCCTGCCTCTTCACCAGAGCTTGAACCCATTACTTGTGGCAGCTGACAGTAGTCTGGTCTGGGTAGTGTTACAACTCCTCGTACTGTACATTTCTACAAAACATGCTTAATGAAGCTCTTAGAGGCAGATAAGAATTAATTCCCCCTCTCATGCCTGTATGTAAATATGAGATTACAGCCAGCACTGGAAAACAAGGGATAAAAGCTTATAAGGCAAGCCAAGAGCTGACTAAACCCAGAAGGTTTACACAATGTTGTGAACTCTAAAAGTGCCAGTTGTCTTTATACATGCCCCCATGTTCGGCTTCATGATAAATCACCATATTTGACAGTACAATCACAATGAGAGAGGAGCCAACCAATTAGACCACTATTTTCAGTGGCAGGAAGTAGATACATTTCCTTGTATTTTTAACTGCACTATTCTCACCTCTGTAGCCCAGTGAGTCAAACCCCCAAACTGCCCCTGATATATCAGCATGCTGTGTGAAGCTCTTTGGGTGGTCCACTTTTTTATTTTAAATTGGATCTGTTATGTTCATTTGCAACTCCCCCTTTTCTTGGACTTTTTCGAGTAGCTTGCGTGATTTCAATGTTCATAATAATCCTTATTTATCTTACACTTAGGTCCCGATGCAGGCTTTCGGTTCAACCTCTGATTCAAACAAGCCGCTTCGGTCAGAAAAATGGAAAAAGTCTCTTTTGTCTGCCCTTTTTGTTTTAAAGTCTTTGAAATAACAAGAGAAAAGCCAAATAGATCTTTTTTTTAAACAACTAACCCTCCTCACATAATTTCTCCACTGACATGCTGTATAACAGGCTTCGTCTCCGTTGTCTTGCTCCTGACTTTTCCCTTTTTAAATACTGGATGAGACGAGCAAGTGGGGCTTTTAGCTGGCGCCCACCCCACCACCACCACTTGGGGAGATTACACTCTGAGACAAGAAATAAATGAACTACCCCGGGGGTTTAAAATCGCCTGTCTCCCTTAAAGTCTCAATAGCCTTCAAGCTTCAAAAGGTGTTGTCATAGTAATGGAAGGCAGTGGAAATAATGCCTGCTTTGCCGCATTGCCGGGTTACTGGCCCTGGTAGCCGTTTCACAGCGCGACAAAAGAGAACGAAAAAGGAGGGGTAGTGAGTCGACACACAGAGAGCGCAGATCTAAGGATGGGAGATAGTTCTGCGTGATAAATGAGGTACAGTGTGAGGTATTGGAGACCTGCAGATGCAACAGAGTCAGAGTCACTTACTGTCTGTCCCCTTTTTAGACTGCTCTGTCAGGCCACATTAGAGGATCGGTGTGCTTTGTTTTTTTATGCACACAAGAATAGAAAAGCCAGAAACAGACTGTTCCCGAACCATTTCCCACTAAAAGCACCGCTAGAAGACCCCCTTCACATCTTATGTAAAAGTAGCGGTACACTGCACGCTGCTAGTTTAGTCCAGCAGCTCTAACTTTAGCAGCTGCCCTCTGAAGTTTGTAAATGTAGGATATAAAGGGCTGTGACTGATTTTCATATTCCTAGTTTGAATTTTTTCCCTTTATATGGAGTCTTTTATGCTTTGTGAATTACATAGTTGAAGATATCGTTTCACTCCCCTCTAACATGGTTCAGGAGTCTAGTCTTTGGACATCATCTCGTAATATGAGATCTTCTGTACTCTTGGGGATTTAAAAGGTGAGATTACTTTGGGTACTTTGGGAAGTACTGGTCTAATATTAGGTGGTGCGGTGGTTAGTTCTGCCACCTTACAGCAAGAAAGTCATGGGAGTGAATCCAGGCTGGAACTTTTCTACATGTGTCTTCCCACAGTCCAAACACATGCCTGTCTCTGTGTTAACACTGCAACATACTGGCAACCTGCCCAGGGCCTAACCCCACCGCTCACCCTGTGAGAGCTGGGATAGGCTCCCTGAATAAAATAAGTGAAAGAAAATGAATGAATGGTTTAGTATCATGAGAATTTCTTGCTTATTGTGCCTATCATGTTGTGTTATCCAATATCATGTTCTGAAATCTAAACCCGAGCTACAGAAGAAATAAGAAAACTATAAAATAGCAGAAAATCTCTAAAAGGATTCTTAAAGTTATAGCTCGTTGGATGGATATCATGAGATTATTATCAAACAAATTGCAGTTTGTCAGGAATGTTATATCTTCTAGATTTTTATTCATGCTGATAATTTGTTTTCATTAAGATTTTTTTTGTGTGTTTGAGCGATGTCCACCCGCTCCCTTCTCGTGATGCCTCTGGAGAAAACTGATAGCAGTTATTCTTTTTTTGTATGTGTGTTTCTTTTGCGTGGGCAAATTTCCTGGTGTAACACAAATATGCTGCCATTTAATAGGAGATCTCCACAAAAGTGGTAGAAAGCGAGTACGCACAGTGCTTACAGCACAGCTTTCATGCTGGGTGTAGTTGAATGCAACGCCTGCTAGGAGACAATTCCACATGACTGATGCTGCACGTGAAATTTTTTCCTACAACGCAAATGCTGAATCTATAAAACACAGTCAATTTCCTTTAGAGACTCTAACAGTAAATAAAGCAATTACACTTGGCTTCATGTGAGGCAACCGACGTCAAATTACTGGTTTCATGTTATCACCAATAAGTAAAGCAACTCATGTATACAAGAGAAGAGATTAGAGGGCACAGTAATTCTGAAGGAGACTTTATTGCATTTCAAGTAAATTTACTTTTTATATAATCATACACCGATAATGCAAAACAGATTTTTAGCACCCACACAGTGTTTTTTCCTTTAAGCTGCAGAAAACACAAACTGGGCCTCTGCTGTAACTGGAGCTTTATTACCATCCATTGACTTTCTGCTAGTGTGGAGTGCCTCCATTATGGCTATGTGCCATTTACATTTAAAATATATATTTTTACACATAATGCCAGTTTAAATTGCAAATAAAAAAAAATGTGTGTACATTTGTGGGTGGGTGTCAGTGAGTGTCTGTCCTTCTGTTTCCTGGGGAAGTATAATGGTCCAGGTCAGAGGTCAGTACAGAGGGGGGTTGAGGGTGTCTCAAGGGAATTTCCTCCCCTAAGGGAAGCACGCAGTCATCTCTGCCTCTCTTAGTCAGGATCTGGAATCTTACCTTCAGGATGTCAACAGTTTCATTCTACAGAGTCATCAGGAAGTCAAAACCCAAACAATGAGCAGTGGACTAGCGAGCAGTGGGAACTTGCAGGTCTAACACTGCTGCCCTCTAGTGGTGCTGATGATGCGCTGTCGCTATGATAAATCAAATGTCTTTAAGCCGTTGATGGACAGTTTCCTGCTTACTGTGCGTTTACAGGTGTGTACATACTGATAGCTGTGGGAGCTGTTATGATGCTTGTGGGCTTCCTGGGATGTTATGGTGCCATTCAGGAATCTCAGTGCCTTCTGGGCACAGTGAGTATACCGTTTTATCCACAAGTGACACATTTTTTTTCCAAATAAAGTATTTTAATCTTTGGAGTCACTGAAGTTAAAATAAATATCTTTGATTTGTAGTTCTTCTTCTTTTTGGTGATCCTATTTGCCTGTGAAGTGGCTGCAGCAATCTGGGGTTTCATGAACAGGGACACGGTAAGCACACACACACACACAGTCACGGTTCACAGCATGTTTGATGTCTGCGTTGATGTCCCTTCTCTGCACCTCTAGTGAATCGTCTCTGTTTGTTGCTGTGTCTATTAAACACCCCATCCCCACTCCTGATTATTCACAGATCTCCAAAGAACTGATCAATTTCTACGACTCTGCGTACATCAAGGCTATGGATGTGTCTGGGTCTGCCAGTAAAGACAGCGCCATCAAGGTGTTGGATGTCTTCCACAAAACGGTACGAAATGATGGGGGAAAAAATCATCACATTCTTTTTTTTTGGCCCTGCTGCTTTGTTTTTGAAATGACAGGGTACAGAAATATTGTTGACTTCATGTTCCTGTGTTTTCTTTCTTGTTCAGCTCGACTGCTGCGGTAAAGGAGACGACACGGCTCTCTTTTTACAACTTGCCACCACCTTATGTCCTACAAAGTCTCCAGAGGATTTTCAGTTGAGATCTCAGGTATGCACAAATCTTTTGTTGTCTTCCCACTCCTTTTCAATATGTAACTAAAAACAGGTGAAACAATATTGAAATGTATTAGCTTTATTTTGTAAAGCATTTTTTTCTTCTTTTCTTTGTTTAATGAACTTTGTATATTGTTTCTATGATCGAAATAAATTAACACACAAACAAGTATTAGTAGTAATAATACTACTAACAACATTAATACTAATGTAAGCTTGTTTATTACATTTTTGTAATATTAAAAAAAATCACTGTAAAGTATTACTAAGGAACTGGGTTGCTACATGTCCCAAATGTAATATGTTCAAGTACATTTAAAATACATTTAGTCCCGTGAAGGCCACAGCAAATGAATCACATGTGTGCTCACATCATTCAGTAATTCCTTACTCATCATGGACTGTCACTCTGGAGAGACCACTCCCTTTAGGATTTGTCTTAATTTGCAGTGATATCTCCCTAAGGGACAGCTGGACTGAAACCAAGCAAGTGTTGCAGAGCTGATTAGCTCTCATTACTATGTAGGATTCACGTTTTTTTTTCCTGTAGTTTTGTAGATTTGCAGGTATTTTGTTGGTTTTTCAGTGACTGCAGTGCGGTCGCGTTAGACAGAAAATGTTAATGTTAAGAAATTTCAGGTATAACAAGTTTGCAATATTCTTAAGACACCTCTCAGGCTCAAGGAACAAATCAGTGTTATTGCTACACATAACAGACAACTTAGCAAAGAATCAATATTGAATTGCCTCTTTAGCCACTGTTGCTGTCAGTCTGTCATAAAAACACAAAGTTGTTCCCATTTCTTTCGTTAAATTTACAAAAAACACAGTTTGACAGGCATAAAGTTGCACTTTTGCACCAACATGGTGACTTAAAAAAAAATGTTTGTTAAAAACTTAGCATATTTCAGCGCTGTGTGCTGTGTGTGTCCTTAAAGATTTGAGGAGAGTGAACAATTGGAGAACAAAAGAAGTGACAGGCCTAGAAAAAGCTGTTTATCTATAGCAGATAAACAGTATCTGAGCCACGACCTTAAGAAACAGGAAAAAACATTCAGCAAAGACTAGATGCATCTGGCTCTTCAGTTGACCCATGCACTGTTCCCTAAATCGTCATCAGAGATGGTCTGAGTGGAAGGATAGCTGTCAAGAGGCCATTCTTAGCCAATTCTTCCTGTTTTGCCTAAGGAAGTGAAAGAGCGAGCAAAGGCTGAGGTATGCCAAAATACACACAAACTGGACTGGAAATCAGTGGCAACAGGTCAAATGAAGTGATGAATGAAAACATTTGAAACTTTGGGTTAAAATCAGCGTCAGTGAGTGTCTACAAACAATCGATAAAACACAGTGGAGGCATCATTTCAGTTAGTTGTGTTGGAAATCTTGAATTGCTGAAATTCCGAACACAGAAAAGTAGAATCAGACTTTAATATCGTATGAAAAACGTCTGATTGGCAAGGGCTTCATTTTTCAGCATGGCATCGATCCCATACACAGTGCCGGTGCAGTGAAAGCATACACAGATGCACGAATAGAAAAACACAGTAAAATAAGGCTAAAATGTCAGATTTTTATTCTTTGACAATTACTTGTCATCGTGATTTTAAAAAGAGTTTGGAGATTCTGACATGACACATGCAAGGATACACCTCATCATATTTAGTAAATGACCAAACTTGGTGATACCATTAACAATGACTTGTATCCTCTTATAACTGTTAATATGAACATTGCTATCAGAAATCATTTAATTCACCATTCAGAAAACTGATCAGAACAAGCGGATATTCTCCACCTTGTTTTGACTGCAGGCTCTGCTCTCAGTTATTAGTGAGCCGTAACAGTATGTGTGCAGAGTGAAGAGCATTCTCATTCATTACTGTGGCGTGGTCAGCATTCCTTATTTTCCCTCTTTCTCCCTGTCAGAGCTGTCATTATAAACTGATCGAGCTCTTCTCTGAGAAGCTCTACGTCATCGGTCTGGCCGCCTTGGTCGTTGCTGTCATCATGGTGGGTATTAGATTGAAAATGCATTTGTCTAAATCTCTGCTTTCATCAGCTGTGATAACATTGCAGGTACTGGAATACTCCCTTTGAATTAAACTGCTTTCATCTTTCACATTTAGATCTTTGAGATGATCTTCACCATGGTGCTCTGCTGCGGGATCCGCAATAGCCCCGGAGTATACTAGCAGTGCAACGGGCAGCAAGAGCCGCACCATCCTGTATTGGAATCATTTTGTTGTGTGTTTCTGTGCATCGGCTCCACTTCTTCATGCTTAAGTCACAAGATGGATATTTCTGCATTTGTTTTATTTTCTAGAGAATTGAAAGCTGTTTTTAAGATCTGTCTTCACTAACTATTTAGACAGTATCGTAGTTTCTAGCAGTGAGATTTTCCTTATTTATCATGGAAAATGTCTTCATTATAAATCTTTTATACATGCAATTTGTTGTGAAATATTTATCTGTCAGTCATTAATTCTGTTTTTACGGATGTATAAATTGTACATATACTTCTCATATGTTCATGACAGGAGTTAGTGTATTCCCTGATTGATTGTTGCATCTTGCTTCAGTGTGATAGTAATTTAAGTGGCAGGCTTTCAATAGTTGAAGGAAATATTCTGTTTTGCTCAAATAGCAAAAGAAGAATCGACGAGTATGTTTTCAGTCCGCTGTGTGTTTCTTCCTACTTGAACTTGCTAAACACCTTTCTTTAAAAAAAAAAAAAAGGATAAAACATCAATATCTTCACTCATAACCGGTTTTAATAACTGTAATAAATTATGCTAACTCTCTTGTACCATTGATTCGTCTTCATCTTTGTCTTTTTTTCTTTTCTTTTTTTCTTTTTGACTACTCCCTTTAGGTGTTGTCACAGAGGATTAACTTTCTTATTCACATATTTGACTTGGCAAAGATTTATGGCTTACCTGACGCGATCCTCCTCACTTACCCAGGCTCGGGCTGGCAGTGGGAGTGCACTGGCTTTTGGCCCTCAGGGGCTTGCTTTCTTGCATCGTTGCTTGTGATCTATAGGTTGAAGTGCTTTCTTATGTCCTAGGGATTTTCTCACATTGCTTCCCATTAGTTAAATTAAAAACAAAAATAACAACATTTAACAAAAGAGAAACACATCTGTCGTTTCTGTCTTTTGTTCTATTTCCCTCCCGTCACGCCCAACCGGTCATGGCAGATAGCTGCCACTCCGTGTGACTGGTTGTACTAATCTCAGTGATAGCACGCACTTCCAAAATAGTTTGTATGAGCAAGTCTCATAAAAGATGTAGTATTTAAGTCACTTTAGCCTCTGGAAGCCACTTGGCAACCCAGCTCCTCCTTACTATATTGTGTCTGAATCCTTGTCGAGCTCTCCCTGACTAAGGATTTGCTAATGCTTGTGGAATAAGGAGCAAGGTCCTAGAGCAGAGCCACGCTTCCAAATTTAAATCACAGCAGGTCAAAAACCATCTTCTTTTAACTAAAGTTAATCTTATTACTCTCATTTGGTAATATCTCAGTTCTTATTTCCTACCAGGCAGCCACTACATTCATCACTGCTGCATCACTGTTGGCTTCCTGTTGAATTTAGAGTACATTTTAAGATCCTAGTCTTGACATTCAGAGGCTTGCATGGACTGGCACCACCCTACATCTCCGATCTGCTACAGCCCTATGTCCCTAGCAAGTCCCTGAGGTCATCTGATCAGGGCTCACTTGCTATAAAACAGACTAAGATGAGAACTAAGGTTGACAGAGCTTTTGCCGCTGTGGCCCTGAGACTCTGGAACTCTCTCCCTCATAAATTAAGAACCGTGGACTCGGTAGTTGTTTTTAAAAGACAACTCAAAACTCACCTTTTTAAAACTGTTTTTGGTTAATTTTTGCATGTTTTATATTGTCTGTTTTACCTTTTTATTATTTGTTATCTTATGTGCAGCACTTTCTGAGTTCATCTCGAAAGATGCTATATAAATAAAAATGTATTATTATTTTTATTATTGATAATTATCCAGGAGGAAAAATATGCAACTCTGACATTTTTTAAAAAGTTTCCATCTTTGAGCCATGTCCAGGTTGTCCATGTGAATCCACATCTTCATAAAAACATCCAGTTTCTACACTGTGAGCTTTTCAGTATAGAACATGCCGTGCGTGAGCTCTCTGTTCAACATTAAGGACTCCGCTCTGTTGAACCATCTCGCTCTTTAAGTTTCTTCTTGATTGTCGCCTTGTTTCAAACCTGCTCACAGGCCTGCCGTTTTTGATGCGAGTCACCACCGGGTGGCACTGTTAGCTTCTTGCTCACTCAGCACCCCCCCACCACCATCCTCAGCAGCAGCAGCAGAGTCACTTCAGTTAAAAAGTGAACTGACTTGTCTTTCTGGCCCTTTGGCAGACACACCCGGTACACATGTTTGCTCTGGCTGCTTTCTCATCAGAGAACGCAGCATTTGTGCTCATCTCACGTGTTTTTAAACCTACATTTTGCTGGTTGACAATCTCTGGCATGTTGTTCTTTGATTTCTGTTATCATATCATCGTGTGTTGTTATATGCAAGCCCACACATTTGGCCTGACTTTGGTCTGTTGCTTGAGGGCGTGTACTTTGGTTCCAAGTTGAAAGAAAAACCAATGCAATAATATTTAGATAACAGCACGTTACAGGCAGAGTGGAGGATACAATATGTGGAAGCTGCATTTCCTGTTAAAAAAAATAAAAAATCAAACTTTGATCTCATTAATGATCTTGTGGCTGATTGAAAACTGCTTCCTGACGCTTGCACCCAAAATTTCATGGAAAGGCAGAGGAGTGGAAGCTGTGACAGAAGCACAGCAATGCCCATGGGTTTGCTCTGGGATGTTCAGTTACCACACATGGGTGTAATCAGCGGCCATTATTCACATTTTGGCTGGATGTTTGAATCAGCACTGAGGTTTGGCAAGCAAATTAGATTAACTTTCACCTGGAGAAAAATCATCCTACAACCTTCACACCTCCTTCTTGCGTCACTCAGGTTTAAATGCTTCAGCAGATCCTGGGCTCTCTTTAAATGGACAGTTTGAGTGTGTGTGTGTCTTAAAGGACGTTGAAAGTTTTTACTTTTTAGTGAGGTGACCAATTATTGTCAAGGTACGGCTGAGAGGCATGATATGAACTAGAACGCTGGACTCAGGAGACGGAACATAAACTCAAAAAAGGACTTTTAATGTTGAACTCTTGAACAAAAATACAAAGTGCAGTTAAACAGGAGCAAGTACTCTGAAAACTAGGAATATCTGGGGGGGAAACAGAACAAGGAAACACCCAACCATGCAGGTTGATGCAACGAAGAACAAGGGAAGACTCAGACAATGTATGCACACGCATGCCAGCTAATGAGGAGATAGGAAATAGGTGGGAGGACAGTTGAAGCTAATCATGAAAATTAGATGGACACAAATGAAAGGGGAGTAACTTCCCACAAGAACAACTTCACACAGGAAGCACAGAAAGACAAAAAAACCCCACAAAAGTGGATAAACTAAATACTACTTAACCAAGGTACACAAAGACAATTGGAAGATAAAGGTAAAATATAAACAAGACAACCCGTTATACAAAAGGAGCAAACACAACACAAATGATCCTTCAAACTAAAATGTATCATAATTCATCACAGAAACTCAAAAACCTGGGCATTTGTGACAGATCTCACAGATAAAGCTAACACTTTATAATACGGCCTGCAACCAAGAGTGTAATCCAACTTTAATTGAATGGCAATTTTAGTGTGTTTTATTTGAAATAGATACACTAGAATAAGGGAGTAAACAAGTCAATTTTCCATAGGAAAAAATAAATAATTATACTGTAAGCAAATTTAAGTACAGCCTAATTTCCTGGTAATTTTGCAGAAAAACAATCAAACCTTTCCCCTTCATACATCAGAAGTACACTGCATGTTTTGGGACATAAGACATATTATGGAGTGTGTTAGCATGCCTTTTTATGTCTTTAATTTTTTACAGCATTATTTTAATGTTGTTATGTTAATAATAATAATAATAATAATAATACATTTTATTTAAGAAAGCGCCTTTCAAAACACTCAAAGACACTGTACACAAACACGTTACAACATTTAGCAAATAAATAAAATATTTCAAAGTAGCAGGATGGAAAAATGTATGTAGAACAGGCTAATGTGAATAGGTGAGTTTTGAGTCTGGACTTAAAAAGAGGGAGGGAAGTGATGTTTCTTATCTCAGGAGGAAGGGAGTTCCAAAGGCGAGGGGCAGAGCAACAGAAAGCCCTGCGCCCCATGGTGGCTAGCCGGGGGACAGGGATGGGAAGAGAAAGAGAGGAGGAGGATCTGAGACACCGAGAAGGAATGGTGACTTGAACCAGGTCAGAGAGGTATGAAGGCGAGAGATGATGGATAGCCTTGAAGGTGTACAAAAGTATATTGAAATTGATGCGGTATTTAAGCAGTGAAGCTGCTGCAGGGCAGGGGTGATGTGATGCATAGAGGGGGTTCTGGTGATAATACGAGTGGCAGAGTTCTGGACACGTTGAAGCTTATGGATAGATTTTTGACTAAGACCAAAAAGAAGAGGGTTGCAGTAATCGATCCGGGAAGTGACCACACTATAATTATTTCTTTGTTTCCTGTAAAAATCAGACTTGTTACTTTTGTTTGTTTCTGGATAATAGATTATAATAGATTATTTTCTCTCTCTTTAGTTTGATCCTCAGCAGGTCAGCTGCAGATGAAACTGAAATCAGGTGCTTAACCGAGCCAGTTGAGAATATTGCTGCAATGGGGCGATCGTGGCTCAAGAGTTGGAAGTTCGCCTTGTAATTGGAAGGTTGCCGGTTTGAGCCAGTCTTGTTTGTTATGTCCTTGAACAAGACACTTCACCCGTTGCCTACTGGTGGTGGTCAGAGGGCCCGGTGGCACCAGTGTTTGGCAGCCTCACCTCTGTCAGTGCGCCCCAGGGTGGCTGTGGCTATAATGTAGCTTGCCATCAGCAGTGTGTGAATGTGTGGATGACTGGATGTGTAAAGCGCTTTGGGGTCCTTAGGGACTAGTTTTTTTAGGTTCGTGTGGTAAATCCTCTCAGGTTGTGATCCTGAAGTCTTCCCATGCGGACATCCTGGATCCGAAAGAGAATTATCGATCACAGTCAATCGTGTCATCAGTCAGTTTTCCTTTATCTAATATGTACATGTCAGTTTTCAGGTGGCATGGTGGGGTGATTGTTGCACTGTCAACTCACAGCAAGAAGGTTCTGGGTTAAAATTGACATCCTCCAGTTTTCTCCCACAGTCCAAAGACTTGGGGTTGGGTTAACACGTGATTCTAAATTGAGCAAAGATGTTAATGGTTATCTGTCTATCAATGTTAGTCGTGCTATAGATAAGTGACCTGTCCAGTGTGTGCCCTGGGACAGCTGTGATATTTTTTCCACTGAAGCTTTGGGTGTTTAAAAGACTATGTCTCACCTACAGGTATCACCTCACCTATCTCACCTGTGAATAGTGATGTAAACCGACTCAAATTAAAATTGAGACATCAGTCTAGTGTCAGTTTATTCATTTCACATTAAATATGCACAGACCCTGGCAGAATTGAACTGCAGTAGCAGAGCTGTCCAAACACTTGAGGTCAAAACTTTATAATGAAGAAATAATAGATTATAATAGATTATTTTCATGGTCAATCAATAAACTGACTTTTCTTGAGTTTACAATCTTTACAAATAAAATTCACAAATGAAATAAAATTTCACCTGTAGTTTGCTCCGACCTGAAAAATACCAACAA